CAAAAATAAAATTTAATACAATTTAAAAAGACACACCACACACATCATCGTGAAATCAATACATTCATCGCTCGGCTCAGACTCTAAAATGGTGATTAGCATGGTCGGTGAATCACCCTGTATATGCCTTCAGATCCCCTCGGGATAATTATTGTCACACGGTGTCGTCAGTGCATTCGCCTCGTTGGAAACGGTCGCGAGTGATGTAATCATTTACAAGAGAGAATTAGACGTCAGTGCAACGAATAATCGCTATCAAAGGCGATTTGTCTACACGCGGTATGATGGTCTCTGCGTATGACGGGAAAAGACGATGACGAATATATTATTATTGTTTCTCTTGGGGTTTGAAGTCACTTCTAAAATACGACTACGAACACGATGTCATAACGTCCGGTGCCACATATTATTATAATAATATGTCTCATCAGTATATCAGTGACAGCACGGGCGCGTACGCGTACGCATGAATGATCGATCGGTAGTTGTTAACTGGAAACCGTGATTACCACACGTGTGGTAGCAGAGCCACTTATGCTCGGTCGATGACGGTATAGGTACAAGTGCCCCTGTGCAGTTGGAGTTTGTTCGAAATTTGCCGGAATCGACAACGTAGTATTATAATTTCGGAGAGCGGCGGTGAGCCTGAAAATATTATTACTGTCGTCAGAGGAATTGTGCGTGTCCGTGATTACGCTTTTACATACTTATATATTATATTATTGTATAATACCCACAGGAGTGGATTATTGTTATAACCACTTGGGACGCGTGTTCGGTGAATGGTGATACGCAGCTATAATGTAAATATTATTAAAAGTGATGAGTTGTTGTGATGAAGTGATTCATTGTATTTTGATTTAGTGAAGATATTCATTAATTCTTAAATGTTTTTGTTACTTTAATATTAGCGATATTGATACTTAATAAGTATATTATAATATTTACTTTTTATTATTATACATTAATAATATATATTTAGCATGATCCCATCTTTCTAAAATCTAAACAAAAATGAAATAATACGTTTTGAAAAAAAAATTTCAAAACGAACTATAACCATATTTTTTTTTTCAAAAGGAGTCATTTCCGGAAATGACACGTTTTGAACAAAATCAAAACAAACTAGTGTAGAAAATCACTATTCCTGAAAAAAGCAGTTTTGGGAAATAACACGTTTTGCATAGAAACACCTCAAATATGGTTGAACTAGAATCTATAATATTATAATATAACACCCAAAAATACTGCCACTTCAGTGCACCGACTGGTACAGCGCACAAGTAAGGCGAGTTATGGTGCAGGACAGGTGATCTCTGCAATATTATTTCGGACAGACCAGATGTGTATTTAATATTTATGGATCACTTTGAACGAAATTCATAATTTTACAACAAAAGTGGTTTTAATAACGATTAATTCTGTCATCATCTGTATATTTATAAAATTAGTAACAATTACTCGTTTTCAACTGAAATTGACACTTGAGAACTGTATAATATCATGTTCTTATATTATAATCCTAGTGAATTTACATAATCTAACATAATATTTTATCCATAAATGATAAATGACAATAATTGTATTATTATCCTCATAATAATATATAATAAACACATTATAATTAGGTAGTAAAAATTGCTTTCTTAGAAATGATAAGTTGCCTGTTAATTTTAAATACGACACGGTTTATGGCTATATTATATGAAAATATATTTTTAACTATTTGAATGAGTAATAATACTGATAAATTATTACTGAAAAATGAAAATGAAAAATGTTATTACAACACCTTTATAAAATAAAATATATAATAGATACTACCTATTTATAAGAGATGTTAAAATCATAACTTTTCAAACTAGATGATTAACATACAAAATGTATTTACAATTTTAAATACAGTCTACATGTTAGTGGGTTAAAATTTTTAAGCAAATTGTGACCTTTTTAAATAAATGATTTATTTTGTACCCATATCAACTTAGATTGTATAGCGCTAATATAAATGGCATATTTAATTCATAAAAAAAAAAAAATTTCAATAAATTTGATAATTTGAAAATACTGCAAAGTGCGTTCGCAACGACTATCCTTGCCGATAAATGTAAAATAAAATAATAATCACAACCTTTATGTCGTCGCATAGGATAATTATACATACAGCGTGTTAAAACTGCATTGTTATGATTAAATTTCCAAATCATCAATATTATTTTAAGACTAATACATTATTTCACTAACTTATTATTATTATTTACTTCTCGTTTTTCGAATAATATTTTAAAACGATTTACTATTTACGATTTTGTATTAAGTTATGTTTATGTTTAATTTTTTGTCAAATAATTAGATTTTTTAGAAAATATTTTTCGATATTTTTTGATAGTTAGTTGAAACTATACATAATCAGTCACTGTAGTATAACAAATAATTAGCCAGTATAACCTCCTATTATAAGTTATATATACGACAATAGTATATTTTGTCTTGAGTTTTAATCATCTTAATACACTATGTTTGTTAAGCTTGCTTATTTTGTAGAACATCTAGTCTGAATCAAAGAATTTGTTATTTAAAACCATTTATTTATACGATTAGGTACCTATAAAATATTTAAGACGAAAACGTAATAAGAATTGTATTTTTATATTGTTTTATGTTTTATTTTTGTGGATCTCCACTAAAACAGGTTTACATTTGAAGTTAATAGTTTTTATTTGAGAAAACTGAGTCGTAAAGAATCACATTTTTTATGGTTTTTTCTTATAAATTATATAGCATATCTGCCATTCTATTATTGTATTATTATTTATTGTATAACCGTTTGAATTCCAATTATTAATTATTTTAATTTTTGCGTATTTATGAATATTAGGACAATGCATATTAGTTAATAGAGTATATAGGTAGGTATTATGATATTTATATACCAACACAATAAACAGTTAAAAATATTTTCTGGATATAAGTAATGATATATAATATAATAATATATTATACTCATTTTTTAACATATGGACGATTATAATATTATGCGTACTGCAATTAAGAATATTCGGTTAGTAGGTATTCAGATATTTTTAAATCTTCACTTAATATTAACTAATTAAGATAGAAGTATGATAATTTGTTTGCTAGTCATTTGGATTTTGCTGAGTAATATTTTTAAAATAAAACTTCACTGGAAAATCCGGCCAAATCCTCAATTGAAAGCAAAGACGTGACAAAAGTTTCCATCTACAACCCTCGAGTGTCATCGTACTAAATAGCATTACATACTCATATAATAAATACACACTACACCTACACACATATGCACAACTCCTGCAAAGTTAAACACACCAGGGTACTTGTCAAGACCTCAATGTGAATATTTGATGACAATACCCGTCAGCTAAGTGTATATGGCAATACATTTGTAGCATAGAATTTGTTTCCATGATAAGTACATAAACATGTATAAAAAAACAAATGTTTAAACGAATACCTACTTGAATAACGTTGAAATATTATAATAATCGTACAAACTACATACGCAGCAATATAATTCTCTTTATAATCATCTATCTATAATTAATGCAATATTGTATTTTACAAAAAGTTTGAAATAATTTCATAAAAAAAAAATATTAATGTAGAAATGCTATGCAGTAAACAGTAATGTCTTTTCGCCTTCTATAATATTAAGATAGTTTAAGGGGTTACTTTTTTTTACTATGAATTGTTTGAATCAACTCGTTTACTGTAAAATGTAAAAAATATTTACTTTGATTCAAATAAATTTGTTTTTCACAAAATTAAAAGATTGCCATGTCAGAGCATAAATGAACTTATAGTAAACATTTTATTTTAAGTATACAAACTGACAATATATTTATTTTCACTAAATTAACATCTTTATTTTGTTAATCTATTCTTAAAGAATTGAAATTTAAAAGTTTAAAATATATAAATATAGAATAATATGATTTATATTTTACTTTGATGAATTACTACCTACTTATTTTGTGTAGGTATTATCATAATCTAATTTTAATATTTTTTGTTGAACCCTCCTTCACTTACAGTTTAACTATAGAACACACCTACACAAGTTTTACATAAATATTTAGTTTACTCTGAATCATGCTAAAGTGTATAAATATAGTGCAAATCTATCATTTTAATTACTAAATCGTAATTAAATTAACTCTCATTTTTGTTTTAAATTTTAACTATAATTGAATCTGAAAGTTTTAGTTAAGGGTTTTAAATATTCTACATTTTAATATTTTCAATATATCTACTATTATTAATAAATACATTTTGTAGGTAGGTACTTTAAAAGTTAGCATTATAAGTTGTAAAATATAAAAATGTGACATTTTAAACTAGTTCATTATGATGTATATTAGCTTTTAATGGCTTTATGTTAACGCCTAAACTGTAAGAAAACAATATAATACATTTTTGGATTAAATGAGTCACATATTAAGCTAGAGTATAACATAATATGAAATGTATTTAAAATCAATTTATACGTTAAAATAATTCGTAAATTATTATATCGCTGAGTACAAGAACTACTTAAACATAAGACACAATTTCGTAGTTCCATTAATGATGATTAGCTAACGAGAAAATTATATGATGTCAATAAAATTTGATACAGCTACAAAAAAAAACGTTTCTCCTATAATTTGTGACGTGGTTGAAGTAACTTAGTGTAAATAATTAAAATATTCGAAAAATTGGATTAAATATAAAAATGTTGACTTATTAATTCTACTCTGGATAAATTATTAAAAAATGTCATTCCAGTAAGATTTAACTAGGAATGCAACGACCAGTTTCCATATTTTAAAAATAGATTATATCATGCTATTTAAATATTATGTATATTACATATACTTATAAAGATTGAATAGTTTAAGTTTCTAAAAGATGATTTGCTATGTTATTTTGATAATAATAGAAATATTTAAAAAAAAATCTGCTGTGAGTAGAAAAAAAATGTTCTATAAAACTACATAGTATCTATGTATTACATTCAATTTTAATCTAAAATATATTACATCCCCATATTCAGCATCGCATTCTTCCAAAAATATTTTAAATTGACGATGTGCCAAAGCATTTTTGCGTATGTAGTTAACCGTCGATACTACAATATTCATTACATCTTTCCATGCTAAAACTTTGCAACATAATGCCTCTTGATGTATGATGCAATGAAATATCATAGGTGCTTCATGTCTTTCTTCCAACATTTTCGCATTTATTCTCCCAATTAATCCTTTATTAATTCCACTCATATTTCTACCACCGTCTGTAGTAACAGTAACTAGTTTGTTCCAACTTAAATCAAGTTTTTTAAATGTTTTGTCAATTTCGATAAATAATTAAGTCTTCTCCCGTTGTAAGTTCCCTTCAAACTACATAATTCAGCTAATTCTTCAGAAATATTAAAATTAAAATCAATTCTTCGAATAAATATTAATAATTGAACAGTATCACAAACATCAGTACTTTCGTCAGTTGCGATAGAAAAACAATCAAATTTAGAAACTTTTTCTTTCAGTTTGAATATTCAATTGTTCCTAACTCTCCGGTACGTCTAACACAGGTCCTAGCTGAGAGACTGATGTCTTCAAATTGGTTTTTTTTCTCAGGGCATATTTCATTTACAACTGCTAACATACATTTTTTTTATAAACTCAGTGTCGTTGAAAGGACAATTACACTTGGCTATCATTTCAGCAACTACGAAACTAGCTCGTACTCCTGATTCGTTTTGATTATGTTGAAATTTAAAACTATTTTGTTGATTAGTTAATGAACTTTTAAAATTGTTTATTTTAATCTGTCTAAGATCACCAGTGAGAGTGTCAAATTTTAATTTATGCTCTGTTTCATAGTGACGTTTAACATTATACTCTTTTGCAGTTAAAATGTTTTTTTTTGCAAATTAAACATAACAGTTTACCTTTATTTTCGATAAAAAAATATAAATCCGTCCATGATTCGTTGAATGTACGATGTTCATCACTTATTTTACGTTTTTTTGACATTGAATTGATAGGTTATTATAAAACAGTTGAAATTTAAACTTCACGTTGGAATGTTTCGAAATGAACTGCACTAAGCTACTAAGGCCATAACTAGATACGTATTTGTCGTAATCGGCGATAAATACATTACATAAGATTAGATTACGTTCTCAATCATACATCTGCGAGAAACTGTTACTCAGAGACTAGACCAGTACACTGTCCAAAATTAGTTATCCCGGCAATACTATGCTGTTAATCGAATCCCACCACCAGCAAGGACGCCGTGTATTATTGAGCAGAAGAAATATATTAAAGTTCCAAGACATGCAATTGATTATCAACGAGGTTATCGCCCAAAAATCCAACATTATACGGCACATGGTGATGGGACAAACTGATCTCATGGCCACATATTTATAAGCAAATGTATCCGCAGAAAAATCTTTGTCAGATGAAGAAATTGCAGAGATCATCTGCAATATCCACAGTGATTTATCGACAATGAATATCGTCCCGAAAAATGAATACCGTTTCACGAACCAGATCAAATTGTTTGCACACTAACAACTCGCCGACTTTTGGCACAAGAAAATGTGTCAAAACGGTACAGACTATCCGATCAACGACGACGCCGCCGCCGCCACAGGCACCGCTGACGTCATCGAATGGGTAATAGGTATATTATTATATTATATTATATTATATTATACTATACTAGCTGATCCCGTACACTTCATTGCCCGTTAAATGTATCAACTCTATATGACTAAAACTTTGTTCAATTCGTTATTTAATATTCGGTGTACGGTGTTCAAAATTTATCTTAACTTTATGTTGCCCGGAATAAAAATTCTGAATCGCAGCATTAAATTATCAGGTAGGCAATCTACCTGCGGTAGATCGCGGACCCCGTTCTGTATGTACGTAAGTGTTCTCTAAAGTAATTCAATTCTAAAGTATCAAAGTTATACCAAGTTTGTCGTTTTTAATTAATTCCACCTACGGTTGATTAAAATAATCGATTTATTTGATCCCATTAAACATAATTTATATTTAAAAAATTAAAGCAAATATATTTTTTTTTCTATTATTATTATTACTATAATACCTTAAACCCCATGGCAACCATTTATAAACAAAAATGTCCATCTGAAATCTCAAAATTCCCGATTGAGCACCTCCGGGGTTGGCCCTCTCCCTTTTTAAATTAGCCTATGTTTTAAGTTGAACCAAAATACACACAGTGTAAAAATTTCAACAAGATCTTTCCAGTAGTTTTTACGTGAAAGAGTAACAAAATCACAAACTTTCGCATTTATAATATTAATAGGATATATTGACAAAAAACAATAATACAAATCAACAAACATGCCCGATTAACCAATAGCAACCAACATAATATAATACACTGTTGCGCCACTGTTGTTTTTACTTTTTTTACATCCAGATTTCCTACTTTTCCAGTAGATTTTCCTAAAATTTTATTTCGTAAAAACCTTCTCCTGGCAATGACGAACATTTAAAAAAAAAAAATTAAGCCAAATTGGTCCAGTTATGCGCTTACCAACACATTTTGCGATTCATTTTTATTCTATAGATTATTATAAATTATAATATATCATACGTTATTTTTACAGCTGATCAGACTCGAAAAAATTGAAGGGTCAGCGATGTTTTCTTATACAAACTATTGATTATAAATTATTCCCGTCAAATACTTCTTGAAATAAATATACATTGTCCGAATGTAACTTAAAATATTCAGGAGTGGATGATGTAGTGGAATGCTTTTGCTGTGGTCTTATTCTTCATAACTGGGAAAGGCTGGACGACCCATCGATTGAACATTGCAGATTCAGTCCAAGATGTTTATATGTATTATTAATGAAGGGTAATCAGTATGCTCAAAATGTATTAAGTAAATACTGTAAAACCGAACATATTCACAGTTGCGAATCTGAATTATACGATACTGTTTGTTAATCAAGTTTTTATTATATTATGTTATACTAAATAAAAATAAATGCTGATTTTTTTTTTAAACACAAATTATATGTTTTAATATTTGATTTAATATCTCACGATCGTATAGACTAATGAGGTTAGTGCGTGTAGTAATGATTTTAATGTATGCTAATCGTGTTATAGTAAATAAAAATAAATGTTGATTTTTTTAAAACAACTTATATGTGTTATTATTTGATGTAATATCTCGTGAGCGTGTGGTCTAGTGGATTACTGCGTGTAGTGTTAATTTAAATGTTTTCAGGTAACAGGTAAGTATAATATGTAATTCTCCCCTCCACTGCATGCAGTAGTCGACTATACTGCACGCTCACATTTTTTGCATTTTTTTTTTATCCATCAGGTTTAGTATATAATACGCTCACAAAGTAAAAATGCTTTCAGTTCAAAGGATATCTCTCATTGATTATATTATATCAAATTTAAAAAAATAATTACGTTTATAGTTTGAAAGGTTTTTTAATTATTTAAAAAAAAGAACTTTAGTTCGTTATGGGTCTACCGGTTATTGTGTCAAAATCGTTATTTGACATACTTGGTAAGAAGAGTGTTACAGTCGGCCTATTAATCGGCAAACAAATTTCGATTATTGTGTTATTAGAGTGTAAGTTAACGAAATTTTTTTATAATATAAAATTATAACATTAAATTTAGAGAAATGGTGTACTCTTATGTCTGAATCTAATTACACTTAAATTACTAACAACTTACATACCAGGTGTAGACGTGTAAGAATCACCGAGAATTTCACATATTCAATTAATGTGAAGCAGAGTTCAATTACCTCACATAGTTACATATAAATGATGATTATATTAAACTCTCACATATAGATTTCTGTAGACTTAAACAACTTCAGCATTGTGTAGACCTTTATATCGCAGAAAAACAGAAACGTCTACCGAGTTTTCAAACAACATTTGATGCAGCTTATGAACTGATTAAAAACGGTGTCTGAGGTTTGCCCATCAGTTGTCAGAGGAACGAATTCACAAACCAGTATATTATACAAAACTACGATTTTAATTATTATTCTACAAAACGACGACACAATTCATTTATATTTATGAAATGTTTTATTTATTAAATAAAAAATATTTTTTTATAATATTACACTCATAATGCTAAATTACTTTTTATCGTACGACGTTCTGGGTCCTTCAAAATCACGTCGAAGATGACCATGCAGGTCTCATTCAAACTTGAATTTAAAGTCTGGCCTTTTGATTTATCTAAAGTCGTTATCTTGACAGATGCCTCAGAGTGACGCCACCTGCAACATAAATTAATTATTCAGTGAACAGTGAATAGAAACAGTTGATTTTTTTTTTTATTATAAGCAACAGTTTTTTTATTAAAAAGTAAACCAAAGTCTAGTATTTACTATAGACCTGCAAGGGCCGTACATTTTCGGCCCGGTCCGGTCCATCAATTTTATCGCCCGGCCCGGCCCGGTCCAAAAAAAATTCCAAACTCGTAAAAAGCCCGGTCCAGTCCATCAATTTTGTCCTCAAGCCCGACCCGGTCTGGTCCAAAAAATATTGTGAAAAAAAAATATAATACTATTATGGTAGGTATATAAATAGCTATATTATACCCACCAATCAATAAATTATTATATTCATTGTGATTGTATCTAATATCCATAGAGTATACTCTATATGTATCTATCTGTACCAAGGTCGGTTCTTATGATTATTATTTATTATTTTAAATTGTGAAGAAAATTGTCGAAGAAAAATAATTAAAAAGCCAGGTCCAACCCTTGATTTATTATTCGAAGTCCAGCCCGAAAAATTGCACAAAAAAAAAACCAAGGCCCGGCCCTGTCCAATGTCACTACTGGCCGGGCTTTTTAAGGACCTGGTCGGGCCGGCCCAGCCCTTGCAGGTCTTTATTAAAAAGTAAACCAAAGTCTATTATTTACCTCTCCTTCGATGGAAAATTGTTTGTGTTCTTGCACTCGTAGTGTGTTATTGTCCAGTAGTCGGCCGCCTTCTCTTCTGGATTAAACTGGCTTTTGATGGTAGCCAAACCATCTCCCTGCCGCAAAGTTACCGAATTGATGATTTCTTCATCGAAATCTTCCGTCCGCAATTTCTCCTCAAAGATTTCCCTGTAAGATGAACTCTAAAAAAAAAAAAAAATAAATAAATTCATGCTATAATTCATGACCATAGAATATTAGATAAAAGTATTAAGATGATAAATAATTATTTATCTTACTGTTTTTGTCT